CATGCAGTAGTTAAATATAAAGACCATCTAGAGTCTCTGGGTATGTGTAGACGAAACAGGGGCCCTGAATTAAAGCAGTGCGTTTTAAAAAACACTGCTTCAATTTAGGGCTGATTAAACCCCCATGTCGTGCGCATCCCTGCTGACTTACCTGCCTCTGGTGGGGAGGAAAAGGTGAGCTGCTGATGGGCCAAGGGGGGGCTGATGGTTCCCTCCACAGCAGCGGTGGCACCTGCCCCCAGGCACCTGTCTCAGGTGGCCCCAGGGGGCACTGCAGCCATAGAGGAAAGCACCAGGCCCCTGCACAGCTCAGGCAGGCAGGCAGGCAGGGTCAGGCGCGGGGGGTGGAGTTCAGGCTTGCTGTTTTTCTTGGGCGGAGCGTGCTTTCCCAGGCTGCTGCCAGGCTGCCTGCAGGGCTTCCTGCAGAGCCCCTGAGCTGCATGGAGCCCAGTGCTTCCCTCCGCGGCTGTAGGGGCAGCAAACTCCTTCAAGGAGTTTTAGTTTGCTGCATCCCAAGTCACTGAAGGAGCATTATGCCGCCAAATTTCCTGCAGTGGCTGGAATTAATGCACCATATGCCACCGAGGCGTGCAAGCACCAACATCATTAAAGCAGTGCCAAAGCATTTAGCCTACTTTAAAGTGTCATGGACACATGCCTCTTGTTTTGTCTACACACGCCTTCTGGAATCTGCAGGAGTTTATTTTAAAAATGAACACTGCACCTAGATTATCAAAGAGAAACAGAATGGGTGGGTCATGCTTGCATCATTCCAAAGACATACTATCTGGTGCATTTTCATTCTCTACAACAAGCTGATTCCTTTCATTTTATTGGGCTGGCAATTTTGGTTCAGGTACCCCTGAAGCATATCTGATAGAAAAATTTCTGTGGATTTAAGAAATAATCCACTAGTTCACCATTCCATTTTGGGAGTCAGTATTAGTCTTACTAGGCTCAGGTAGATGAAGGTACAGCTCTAGCTTCTGCAGGTAGAATTTGGGGAACACAGAAAAAAAATCTTGAATACTCTGAGGAATAAAATGAATCACAGTGGGAGTGGGACTGGGAGCAGGAGCCTGCCTGGGGCTGTAGTGTCTTATCTCTGCTCCTCCCCGCAACCCATCCTGGCACTGCTTGGCTTTGCTGACACTGGCAGGAAGGAATGGGGCTGAGAGCCACGCTGAGCTGGGGGTAGGGCATGATGTTTGCAGCTTCTTGGAGCTGGGCTGCAGGGTAGAGGTAATGGCCATGACTCGTGGCCTTCCCCCCAACCCATGGTGTAGACCCCAGCTGGGGTGGCCAGGTTGGGGGTCTCAGGTCCCCCACCTCACTTGCGTCCCACCCCCCCGCTGCCCAGTAGGTTGGGCAGGCCTCCACTGGTATGGCAGCGGATGCTGGATGGAAGCAGCCCTGCTTGCCTAGCACTACGGGGGTGGACCCCATCTCTTAGTCTGCCACAAGCTGCTCGGTGGTGGGGATGCTTCCAGCCAATGTCCTCCACTGCAGTGGCAGATGCTGGAGTTGAAGTTGCTGCTTGTGGGCCCACCCCTCAGCTACTGTCTCCTAGGGAAATGTTTTCCCTTAGCTGGTCCTGGTATATTGTTCAACAGACAAGGCTTGAGGCAATGCCACAGCTTTGTCTTAGTTCACTAAAATAAATCTAATCAAACTCTGTAATAGGTGTGACTTGTTCAGCGAACACGTTACTGCTTGAGGAACTGATTGTGCCCTATCATTCACCAATCAAGACCCCAGGATGGTTGATGGACTTTCTTTCACTGATGGCTACTAAAAATGTCTCAGGCCTTTCCTTTCCATCAGGTTTCTCTTTAAGAGAACCTGATCTCTGTTTAAATGGAACCAAGGAAAGATGGAGAATTGGGCTTTCCGTAAGCAGTATGTCTTTACTGGCTTGCACTGAGTTTGTAGTGCTCCATTTCAGCTCTGAGGTATTGTTCTATATTGCATACAACTACAAAAACATGGCATTTATGTTGCAGGTGTTTCACTTTGATGATGTTTTGACTACTGCAACTCCAGGAACTGGAAGGAATAGTCAAGATGGCAGTGCTGAGGTGAAGCAACAGATACACCCTAGCATCTTTCTTCACAGAACCAGGCAGATTCTCCTTTATGATACCTTATATATTTACACTAAAAAGAGCACACAGTTTTGCTGTTTAACAGGCATTGTCAGGTCATGCTTTAAATAAATAACCCCTGTCCAAAGACCAAGACTTTTTTGGTCTTGGTTTAAAACCAAGAATGTGACAACCTGAAAATGAATTATTACAATTAACTGTGAAAGTGACCAGCTTATTGGCTGAATGGTCTCATGTCTCCACTCATCTCTTAAATCTGGCATCAAAAACATTTCTGTACTCACTCTTCCATGTCTGGGACTTCTGGTCCCTTCCTTTTGGGTTTTTTAACAAAAAAGTCCTGGGGAACTTTAACAAGTCCTAGTGAACTGTTAGTTGAGTTGTTTTTTTCTGCACCTTTTATTGCTAACAGGGGGAACCAAAGAAAGAAGTTTGCAAAAACAGGATTTAGGCAATACCGGATCTTGGTATAATAATTGCACTATGGCATCTTGGTCTGAGTTTGATAGTGAGAAGGTTGGGAAAGAAAGAGCACATTTTCAAAAGGGATGGAATAAACCTGGGAGGCTGCTAAAGATTAATCATTAATTGATTTTTTTGAATAATGGGGGGGATTCCATGGCATTTCAACCCACAGGAGATCAGGGCCAGGGTCTTAGAATTATACCGAGAATTGTTGCTCAGTGAAACGTGTCACAATTCAGACAGCAGCTAGTGAATATCAGAGTATAGATTGTGTATCATATGACTTCATAAAGAATGGCTGACCTCACTAAAGATTTATTTTTTTGCTTGAAGTGTGAAGCTGAAGGAGCCCATCACCAAGTTCAGGCACTCTTATCGGCAATTTACAAACCCAACTCAGATTATTCTCTAAGCATTGCCAACAGGCTATATGTGGAGATCACTTCTGAATTTTGTAAGGTAAGCTGCAATGGTGTCCATGCTAATAGCCAGTGAGGGTAATATGTTCACTAAACTTACTATCTATCTTAAAATATAATGGCCTTCTATCAAAATGGCATAATTAGGGCATTTCCCATCAAGGTGTTCCATTTATTTGTATATATATTCGCATTTTCAATATATATTTCACATATTCCCATGTGGAGAAGAGGATAGATAGATAGATAGATAGATAGATAGATAGATAGATAGATAATCATATTTGTTAGATCTGGTTGATACTCAGCTGTGTTTTGTAGATATGTAGATTTTAAATTTTGTTTCATTGCAGTTCAGAAGGAGAAATACTTTCACAATTTCCCACAGAAAAGTCTGCAGATAGAAATCTGAAATGGAATGCCTGAAAATTTTCAGTTCTAGAGAAATGTTATTCTAGAACAGAGGTGCTCAACCTCCAGCCCACAGGCCATGGCATTTCGCCTGTGGGGCTTCTTATAGGTCAGGAACTTTGGCAGCAGGGGAGTGGTGGACATTAACATGGCCACCCCTCTTCCCTGTCAAATTCCCAAACCCCAAGCCCCATATGGCCAGTTGGGGCCAAGCCAAGCTGTGACCTCATTCTCCCATGGGGCGAGGGCATAACACCCCCTCTGCATTCCCCCGCAACCCTTTCTGGATCAGGGCTAGGCCACTCCATTCACTCCATGTATGGCAAGGTTGTGGCCTGGCCATACCCTCTCTTCCTCCATAGGGCTGGGCAATGCCTGCTTCCACCCATGTGGCCAGGCTGGGCCAGGCCATGCACCCTTCCCCCGTGGGGCCAAGTTGGAGCCAGGCCATGGCCCCTTCTCCCCCCACCCCCCAGGCCTGGTCCATGACCCCTTTCTTCTCTGCAGGTCAGGTCAAGGCCTGACCACAGCCCCTTTCCTCTCCATGGGGCTGGGTCAAGCTCCTTTCCCTTGTGAGGTTGCATTGGGACCAGATTGCCCCCTGTCATCCTCTCTGTGTGGCCAGATGGTGCCCTCCGTGCCCATGCAGATGCCATATTGGGAACACCGGCTGAATCTGGCCTGTGGACAGACTGGACACTGCTAATCTAGTCCTCTGGGCAAAAAGGTTGAGCACCACTGTTCTACAATTCTTAACGTTAAGTTACCTTTTTATGTATTTTTGGTATTTCAGGATGTCAGTATCTCACATGATGTACTACCACTGACTTACCTATATGACAAAAATAGAATAAGTCAAGTACAGTCATATAACACATGTAATACTACTACAATATCATTAAATAATTAATAGTAACAAACTGCTGAGAGCCCCTAAAATAAAATATAAAACAACATTGCTTGAGATAACATTTCTTGAGAAAAATACATTAAGAAAAATTTCTGTGGGAATTTTGCATAAATATCAATACATTCCAAAACAGTTACATTCTGACAAAAACAGTATTTTCCACCAAAACTTTTCCAACCTTTCCAACTAGTTCTACTTGCTAACTGTTACATGAACTTCAGTTTTAACATATAGCCTGAGGCAGAACCTGCTAATGCTACCAAGTAATTCTAGATCAGAGTAGCAGTACAAGAATGTTAAGGATGCAAACTTATTACATATTACTAAATTACTTAGGAAAGGCCACATAATCTCAATTCCTCCCCCTTCTGTGTACATATTATAATGAATCTTTACATGACATAATCCCAGAGCATTCTTCCTTCAGTCTTATTCAGTGTACAATATGAATGAGGTAGGTCTTCCATGTTACTATCAATTTCCCTGCCTTTTGAAATCCAGTGACTTCTATATGGTGAAGTCTGCAGTGCCAGACCCATACCCTGACTTCCATTCAACTGTCCTGCAGCTGTGCATATTCAATCAGTAGAAATTTGGAAGAACAATTAGAAAAATGTCATCATCATGTGCAGTGTTTAAATGCATTTGACTCGGCCAACTCTCAATGGCTTGTCTCTGGACAGTGAAAAGCATGTGTCCAAGCCAAAGATTTTCTTTGCTAAATTGTTGGTTTCTAATAAAAGACAGTAAAGCTGTAAGCTTGGTCATAAATATACCGGTATGTTAGTCTTTAATAAAACCAGCAGAAATGTACTTTTCCCCTCTTCTTTAAATAAATACTCACAACTGGCTAACCCCTTTTTTTCCTGCTGCTTATAAGCAAAACCAAGAAAAACTATCATCTGGTAATAGGGATTGAATTTGGAAAACATCAGCCTAAAAAAGTAAAATTTGACAAAAGTCCTTTTAAATGGGAATAAGTAGGCCCACATATCTTTCCTCAAAGCTTTCCCTGTGCCTGATGGCTATAATAATAGTAATGACCATTTTTAAATTTACCTACAATACACACACGTCTGTGTCTTAGGCCACTGACTCCTGTTACAGTCATCATGCAATTAACTGGTTAATACATTTAGACTGGCTACATATTCAAAGTAATTATCACATGATAAAAATAGCCTTCAAGCTAAAAAAAAGTAGCTAACAAGAGACAAAAATATTGCTTGAAAAATGCAGAAAATGATAGCTGGTTTCTATCAAGCTTTAACTGGAACACATGGCAGCTCATACATTGGGTGATAACTCTTTGCTAGGTCCTTTGGCACCCCAAGGTGCACTGCTTCCTACCCGACCCACCAGCTGCCAGGGCTCTGAACACAGTCCTTGGCTGTCAAACACATTCCACTCCAGTGGTCGGGGGGGATTCCTTTCACCCTCAGTTCCCTCCTCCCTCAACAGTGAGCAATGTGGGTGGAAGCACTCTCTAGATGAGAGCAAGGTGCTGGAGATTTCCTCTCCATACACTGAACAAAGCACAGAATGCAGGGGAAATTATTATCCCCACAGCAGGGAGCTCAGCATGCAAGGAAATTCCTTCCCCCTTGCCCCGTACAGCATGGACAGGAGGTCTCTCTCTCTCACATTGAGCAAAGCACAGGAGGTGGGGGATTGAGGGGAAGGGAGGGGAAATTACATCCCCACAAGGAGTCAGGTGCAGGGAAGTTGCTGAGCTGAGCTGAGCAAAGTGCAAGGTGAGGGAGAATGTCCTCCCCAGCAGGGAATCTGGCACAAAGAGAGATAGAGGGAACTTCCATCTGTGTTCCATGTTGGGGAAGGGATTTCCCTGTGTGATGCGCTTCATGTTCAGGGGGTAATAATTTCCTCCTTACCCTGTGCTTCTCTCAATGTGGGGTGACAGAAGGAACCCTTCCCTTTGCCCACCTCTCGGGTGTGGGCGGGAGTAGGAGACCTTTCTTAGCTAGGTCCTATAACTCTTACCATTTGCTGAGGACGTCGGTGACTGGTGCCTCCTGAGTCGGGGGGGGGGGGGCACCCACAGAAGCTGCCAGCCACATTGGTGGCAGAGACAGGGCTGGTAAGCACCTGCAGAAGCCTCCGGTGGTGGTGGTGGCCCTGTCAGGGGACATGTGCACCCCTGTGCCCTCCCTACCAGTTGCCTATGGCTGAGGACCAGCGTTGAGCTTGGAGATCTCCCCCAGCTGGTCACTGGCACCAGCAGTGCAAGCTAGCATGCCATGCTTTTCCTTTCTGGGCAGCCTGCCTTTTGCATGTGAAGTGCTGCACACTGCACAATGGTTTCATAATACAAAAAAAGCTATGCTGCAATTAAAATACCACCTGCCAGTGACCTTACATAATGGTTCATTGCCTATGTAATTTCTACATCAGAAACAAAATTAAGTCTAAATTTGTTTTAATTTTTTAAAGCCATGGAAGTTTGGTACTCAACTCTCAACTATGTCTCCTGGGAGTTAATAGATTCTATTGGTTGCTCAATGTTTTACAAAAAAATCAGACACATGTCTAATTATGTAATGAAAAGCTTAAAGTGAGGTGCTTTTTTCTGGCCTCATCTATTTTTTCCTGCAGTTTATAATTCTGAGTTGTTTACTGAAAATATAGAAAGATGCTAATATAATGGATGACACAGAAGGTAAATCATATTTGGTAGAAATATGTATTTTAAAATATTGTGTTCTTAAAAATTCTTTCTGTCAAAATTGTGTTTAGACTAACCTCTTTTTATTGTTGTTTTTCATTCGTATCACACTATTGCGCAATATAAAATGGTTTTGAAGATGGTGTTTTTGGCCTGATTTCTGTAACAATATGTTTGTCTTTCCTACCTCACAGCAATATTTAAGTTGCACAAAGACACTGTATCATGCAGAGCTGGAAGAAGTTGACTTTAGGAATGCTCCACACAAAGCCAGAATAAAAATTAACTCCTGGGTAGAAAATAAGACAAATGGTAAGAACAGGACATACATACCATATTAAGTACACATTCTGTCAGAATGAGTTAGGAATATAGGTTGGAGGTCTTTCAAAACTAATTTAGATGGAAGACCCTCCACCTTTCTTGTTAAAGTTGAGAATACAAGAATCAAGGGGCCAGAGAGAGCACAATCAAAGACGAGTCTGGCTTTGTAGCTCAGAATTATGGAACTCATCTAGAAAGGGGAGTCCTTCATTCTAGCCCTGGAATTTAAGATTTTTTCCATTTCTTTTTAATCAATTATGGTTTTACAGTCAAGTCACATGTGATACTGGTTTGAGTCTTCATCAAGGTTCCTATGCTCTATTATTAAGTGTAGATGTATATATTTGAAAATTTTTATTTAAAAAACCTTATTTTAACTGTCTTACAAAATAACTCCATTATTAACGTTAGCTATAGGAGACTGACTGAATCAAGTACGTTAATTCACTTTAATTCATTATTTTAAAAGGTAAAATCAAAGAATTGTTCCCTTCTGATGCCACTGATGACAGAGTTGTCCTTGTGCTGGTTAATGCTATCTACTTCAAAGGAAAGTGGGCACTGGAATTTGTGAAAGAAAAGACCAAGGAAACAGCTTTCAGGGTGAACAAGGTACAATATGGACAAGGGCCAAAGACAATAAGGTCTGTAAGGGGTGGGAGCAGGGGAGGGAGGGGGAGGGGTGGAGGTAGAAATTCCTTCCATTTCTTGGCTGGTAGAGTGAGGGGTACCCATCTTATTTCAGACAACTTCAACAACCTAGCATGCAAATATAGTTAGATTGTTACCATTTCTATCACTTTGGTGTTGAAGTAAAGTTTTGATTGTATGCTGCCAATGCAGAAAGAGAGTGAGAGAGAGAGAACTGGAACTGACATGCGCAAGACAGGCTCATGGAATTTTCCATTGGACTCACCCAGCCTGTGTCCCCTGGGCGACCCCAAGAGCTGTCAGTCAGGCTGACCTACTTTTCAGCCCTGCGCCTGCGTGGTAACAGCAGAGAGTTCAGGCTCGCACATGCTCAGTCAGCTAAGAGCATGATGTCATTTGGCTAGAAAGTTCTTTGAGGGACACATTCTAATTGGCCACCAAATTGTTATA